AGTTGGAGGTCCCTACATTGAACTCCACTCCTGCTCCAGGTAGGACCCCAAGGTCTCTCTCAAATGGCTGTCCAGCTGCATCTTGAATGCCTTCAGAGTGTGAGAGCCCACAACCTCTCTAGGTCATGGGTCCCATTGCCCTACCGTTCTCACAGTCAGGAACGTTCCCCTGGCATCTGGCTTCCTGCTACTTGAGCCCGTTGTTCCTTGTCCTGCGATCTGGGATGACTGAAGAGAGATCCTGGACTTCCTCTTTGCGACCGCCTTGCAGGTACTTACAAATGCCATCCTAACACCCCAGTCGTCTCTTCTCGAGGCTAAACGCACCCAGTTCTGTTTCTCCTCGTGGGGGTTTGCTTCCAGTCCTTGGATCGCTCGGGTTGCCCTCCTCTGATCCCTTTCCAGTTTGCCTGCATCTTTCTTAAACTATGGTGCCCAGACGCGGGCACAGGACTCCAGAGGAGGCCTAATCAGAGCTGAGTAATGGAGAACTAGCAATTCCCATGATTTGGAAGCCAAACTTTTATTTCTGTGCTGTCTTTCCTCAAGAGCTCAAGTTAGAAGTCATGATTATCTACCTCCCTGCATTTTATTCTCACAACAAACCTGTGAGGTATATTAGGTCGTGGAATAGTGGGAAGAAGCTGCATTGGACTGTTTGATTTGTGAGCCAGCATCAGTGGATTTTTAAAAACCGGCAGTTGTAGGCATACAGTAAAGGTTACAGTGTTGTGTCAACCATGTTGATAATGCTGTGGGAGTGTTGTAACTGCCGGAGAAGAGGAGGCGTTTGAATAGCATGAAGACATACTGTAAACCACAAAAGCCGTTTCAGGTGGAAGAGAAATGGGAGGCGCGCTGCTGCTTCCATTTCCGTTTCCTCCTCCTGCTGGTTAATAGCGTGCACCTTGCCAGTCATGCAAGAATGAAGGTTTAAAGCGTGCGGTTATTCAGCTGTGGGCACAGCTGCGGAGAACTGCAGTAAGAATTAGCAGCCAAAAGAGAGCGATCCTTCGTGTGCTTCAGGAATCGTTTAAACTGTGGCTGTACAGTGACAAGTATCTCCCTGCATATCCTGCGTCTCCATATCCTATGAAAACCAGTGCAAGCTGGAAACGAGGAGGAGGCAAAGGGAAGTGTAGGTACTATAGTGGGACGAAGGAAAAGGAAGGGAAAATATTGCACAACTGGCACTATTATTTTAAAGCCACACCTGCTGGTAGAGGGTAGAATAGTCCTACTCGGTCGTCATGTCTTTGCCTGGCACAAAACCCTCAAAGACCCCCCTAATCATAAAAGTAATTTGGAGAGGTAGAACTTTGACAGTGCAATAGTGACAGGACATGTGGGGAAAGGAGTCATGTGGCTCACGTGTGACCCAGGCACTGACAGCACTGGGATAAAACACCAGTGTAGATTGGCTTAGGGTCACACCCAGTGACCTTCATGAATGAGTGGGGATTTATACTACAGCCTTACAGGATGAGAAACCAGTGCCCTTTCCGTTGCCGAGTGCCAGCTGGAACAAGGTGGGGGGAAGTACACAGCTGGGAGGGAATGCGACCCCATATCTCCTTCTCCACCTGCTTTTGCTGGCAAGGGAAGGGCTGAAGACACAACACACCCCAGTGCAAAATACCACATGCCAATAGTGCTTTGCAATAAATAGAGGGCTTTTGCTAAACACAGCTCCTGTAAAACATGCAGCTTGAGCATAAGCATTTCAAGCAGAATCTGATGCTGTTATGTCTGGAAAAGTTCCCTTAAGTCACTCAAAAGATTTCATGGCTCTTTGGAATGTTTCTGGTGTAAGAGCGCTAATTTTGCACCACAAATTGGAAGACAAGTCAGGGGTTGGGAACCCTGGGCAGCTGCAAAAGCCTCAGTGCCTCCAGAAGGGCTAGTAAGCACCAACAAGCTACTGCTCAGACTTTTATTATACCACCTGCAATCATTCCCATGCCTGTTTACAAAAGGAAAAAAATAATTAAAATGCAAGTGCAAGTATCGTTAAGCAACCAAAAGCCTCTGAATAGTACAAGACACGTAAAACAGTCAGCAAGATTAAAAGCATGCCTAAAATGTTGGGGAAAATAAAGAGAACTTTGCCTTGCAGCAAAAAGATTAGAATCTCCCCGAGGGTATCTCACAATTCAGGCTCCACCACTAGTCACTCAGCTGACCTGGAGGAAGGGGAGTGGGCTGTTTCGGCCTTCTTGCCCTTTGCCTGCGGATGTCGGGGAAGGGAGAAGTGGAGCTGCCTAGGGCAGGAGTGGGCAGCTTGTGGGCTTCCAGAAGTTTTGAGCTACAACGACCAACATTTTTGAACAGAAACTAGTGTAGCGCATGTTTAGCTGAAACCACATTCGTGGTGGCGATGATGCTCTGCTCGCGGGAGAAACTGCACATGTTCTGGGAAGACAATTGCTGGCATCTTTCTGTTTAACTGCCCACTGTTAAGAGTTGCGTGGAACGTACTGATGGGGATAGGCCAAAATGACTGCTTTTTAAGGTATAAAAACATTTGGCTTGTTAATGGCTGCTGGTGGTTTCTTATGAAACCACCTTTTTATTCAAGCGGCATTTTAACTGTTAATATTATTGGATTTTATCTGGCCAGGGCGGCTTATTTTATACTGTATTGTTGTATTTTTAATTTAATATTTATATTTTTAATTTATGTTATAATTATTTTAACTTAGTGATGTGAGCCGCCCCGAGGCTTCGGCAAATGGGGCAGCATAAAAATGTTTTAATAAATAATAAATAAATAAAAATGAAGGAGGAGTGAGCTTCTTTGTCTAGTGTGCACACTTCAGTAATGAGCTTTTGCTTTTTGAATCTTGCTAGTGGTTCGTTGTCTCTTGCAGTTAGACAAATGACCCTTTAGGCCAGTCAGGTTAGTCTGTTGACCAAAAGGTCCGTGTCCTGGTGCGTGGATGCCCAAAATACACAACAAGGGAAGGTTTTCTTTTATAAGATTTATTATCGAGAATAACCAGCTACCAACAAATCATCCCTCGGTTGGTCCTTTTATACACTGATCATTAGAGGGTTACACGGAACACTTTCCAATAGGTTACAGAAGTAAAAAGTTGCACTCGCGTGTTCTTTCCCACTTGCATACCAAAGGAGACGCTCGAAGGACGGGGGAGTATGGGCTGCTATTACACAGAAGAAGAGGGTGGGCTGCTGTGAATTGCCCTTTGTATTTTTATTTTAGACCTTTTTATTTAAGCAACATTTTAAATGTTAATACTACTGAATTTTATCTGGCCAGGGCGGCTTATTTTATATTGTGTGTATATTGTATTTTAAATTATTATTACTATTCTAATATGTATATTTTAATTTATGTGGTTTTATTTATTGTTGTAAGCTGCCCCGAGGCTTCGGCGAATGGGGCGGCATAAAAATGTTTTAATAAAAATAAATAAAATAAAAAAATGAGTCACTGTTATCTGTCAAGCCTCAGCGAGTTGTCTCTGGAATGCACCTGCTCAGCGTCAGCTACAATTCAAGCAGGCAAACATGCTGATTTCTAGAAGAGGATTTTTCTCAGGTCAGGTTCTGTGTCAACGATTGCATGATTTAACCAATGAAAGTTCTACCTCTTGATTTGTGCATCAGTCCCTGCCAAATTCTGGCGACCCACATGGGACCCTTCTAAGTCACCAGCCTCGGTGCTGGCTTCAGAGCGCTGACCACCGCGCAGCCTCGACATACCCTGCAGGCCAGGCCGCGCGCCCGCAAGAGGGCGAAGCCCTTCAGGACCAGCAGAAGATTGCAGAAATCCAGCAAGGTCTTCTGCTGGGCAGTCCTGGGAGTGCCACCTGGCAGGGGAAGCCTCTGGGACTCCGGCCCCAAGCGGCGAGGCTCACCTGCGGAAAGCGGGGCCGACCATCCCGAAAGTGGTTCCGGGGCTCAAGAGGCCCCTCACACTGCGGTGTCCGAATGGGTGTATCTGCCATGGAGGGCAGGTAGGGTGCCAGGCGGTGCCCTGGAGTCCGCCACACCCCGCCATGCGGGCAGAAGGCGCTCCTCAGCCTCCTCGCCTGCTAGGAATGAAAGACCAAGCAGTGACGATACGGGAAGCAAAGTAGTGAGCAGTAATAGTTTAATACGCTCTTGCAAGAGCGGGCGCCCACCACACAGGTAGTGCGCCGTTTCCACAAAAGGCCTTGCCTTGCATTCCCTTTTCCCGGCTCGCAGACCCTGCCTCTTTCCTCCCACTGGCTGGGTTACTAAGAGGCCACAATCTTCTCCGTCCATCTGTATCATACTACTCCTTGGTACGTTCTCCCTCCCATGTCCACGCTAATGAGCCCATTACCTACGAGAGGTGTGCCAGTCACTATTCATGAGCCTATTCAGCATGCGCACCACTCACTGAAAGTTCAATAGGTCGCCTCGCTGGATGGCCACTTGCCTCCCAAAACTTGTGGGAGGAACAGATAGGAGGATCCACCCTTCTTCCAAGCTCATCATCTCCTCCTCCCTTACACAGGATGTCCTCAACCCTTACAATGTCCTCAGCCCCACTCCTCTTGTGCTCACACTCAGCCCTGCCGTATACTAGTAGCCCACCTTGATCTGTGTAAATCAGTAACGGATTTAGACCTGCCTGCTTTCTTCTGCTTCCTATGTACAAGTCTCTCCACACGGCTCCTTACTCAGGCCCTTGGCCTTCTAAGGGTCCTTGCTCGGGTCTTTCGCAATCCCTCGTTCTTGTGCGGGCGACAGCCATTCTCCTTCCCTCCCAGCCGGCGGTGCAGAGGCCCGCGCCGACCTGGGCCGCGCGTCACGTGCCCGCCGGGGCAGCCGCCATTCGCGCGCGCGCATCCCCATGGCAACCAGGCAAGCGGCCGCCATCTTGTTAGCGGCGCTGCCATAGCAACTGCCGGGCCCCGCGCCGCCAGCCGCCCGGCCCCGTCTCCACGGCGGCCGCCCCGGCGAGCAGCCGCCTCCCGCGCCGGCCGGAGCGCGCCGACCGCGCGGCCATGGCGGGCCGCTCGAGCGCGGACGAGCTGGAGCTGACGGGCGAGGAGGCGCGGCGCCTGGCCGAGGCCTTCCGCGACGAGCGCTTCCGCGCCCTCTTCGCCGAGTACGCGGCCGAGCTGGCCGACCCGCAGCAGAGGGCCGCCTACGAGGCCGAGGTGGCGGCCCTGGAGCGGCAGCGGGGCGTCGAGGCCCGCTTCCTGCACCCGGCGCCGGGCTGGGTGCTGCGCACGAGCCAGGGCGGCGCCCGCCGCTGCTACCTCAACGTCTGCAGCAACGCGCTGGTGGGCCGGCCCGAGGCCCGGCCGGAGCCCGGCGGCAGCTGCTGGTCGCTGCCGCACTGCCTGGCGCCCGGCCGCGAGGAGCTGAGCTGCCGGCGCCCGCGCGGGCCGCGCCGCCTGGTCTACGACGTGCTCTTCCACCCGGACACGCTCCGCCTGGCGGCCCGCTCGGCCCGCTTCCGCCGCCTGGTGGACGACACGGCGCTGGAGGCGGTGGAGCGGCACTTCTCTCCGGGCCTGGACCGCGCCAACGCCGCGCCGCTCCGCGGCACCAAGTACAAGGGCGTCCCGCAGGCCGCGCTGCTGCGGAGGCCGCTGCCCGGGGGCGCCCCGCCGGAGGGCGAGGGGGACTCCCCGCTGCCGCCCTTCCCCTCCCCGTACGCCTACCCGCCGCCCGCCCCGGAGCGCGCAGAGCCGCCCGCGCCGCCGCCGCCGCCCGCCGCCGCCACCCCGCGCTGCACCCTCCGGCACCGCTCCTACGTGGACCTGCAGGACTACCGCGACAGCCGCGACTCGGCGCCCAGCCCGGTGCCCCGCGAGCTGGTGGCGACCATCGAGCTGCCCCTGCTCGGCTCCGCCGCGCAGGCCCAGCTGGAGATCCGCGGGCGCGAGCTGCGGCTGGACTCGCCGCGCCCCGCCGCCTACCGCCTGCGCCTGCGCCTGCCCTACGCGGTGGACGAG